AAAAAAAAATTATTTAAAAATTCATCACACCCCCACCCCCTAATTGCGTGGGCGCTCTGTTGGCTCATGTGACGTCATGCTGGGCTCTGAAGCGGATGTCCATAGTTCGAATCCCGAAATTGTCGTTCTTCAGCATTGTAATGTTTTTGGGGATTGTTGAAAGGTTCTCCGCACTTTTTGTAAAGTCCTATGGGCGTTAACTTCGGCGGTCGCGTTACTTAAAAGGGGCTTAGCAGCAACACTGAGTACTTGGCAAGGAAGGGGTATAAACTGAAAAAGCGGTATGTGCCTATCAGGGAACCAGAAATATACAATATTATAATACTGAATTTCTTAGTCTGGATGTGTAATATTATAATAAGAGGCCAACCTAGGAAGTTTTTTGTAGGTAGTGTGGGCCTGCAAATGTATTGCCATTCCGATACATTACACAAGTATGCAATACATTATACAATCATGATTATGTCATTGTATTGTCATTCTGATATATTATACAATCATGATTACATCAGTGTATGGTCATTCTCAGATTCTGATATATTATACATTCATGATTACTTCATTGTATTGTCATTCTGATATATCATACACTCATGATTACTTCATTGTATTGTCATTCTGATACATTATACACTAATGATTACATCATTGTATGGTCATTCTGACACATTATACATATATACTAATCATTATGTCATTGTACTGTCATTCTGATATATTATACACTCATGATTATGTCATTGTACTGTCATTCTGATATATTATACACTCATGATTATGTCATTGTACTGTCATTCTGATATATGCTAATCATTGTGTCATTTCGAGGGTGGCTGCTAATGCCTTTTAGCAAGAGAAAAGAAATGTAAGGAGCTGTCAAAAGGAAGGTAAAAAGCAAGGGAATGTTACAAAATACGTTTCTGCAAATGTCAGAAGTGTGTGTGTCTCTGTGTGTGTGTGTGTGTGTGTGTGTGTGTGTGTGTGTGTGTGTGTGTGTGCATGCGTGCATGCGTGCGTGAGGGCGTGCGTGCGTGCGTGTGTGTGTGTGTGTGTGTGTGTGTCTGTGCGTGCGTGTGTACGTGTGTGCATATGTGTATATGTGTGTTTGTGCGTGTGTATGTATGTGCGTTTAGTTTTAGTAGAGGTTTTACGGCGCTGGCAAATTCCCAAGGTCATATGAGCGCCAAGTGTGTATGTGTGTGTGTATGTGTGTGTGTGTGTGTGTGTGTGTGTGTGTGTGTGTGTGTGTGTGTGTGTGTGTGTGTGTGTGTTTCAACGTCCGTCTCCGACAGGACTGGGCCAAATGGGTTGAGAGCCTTGAAAACTCCACATAACGACCCAAGTTAAAAGAACGCCCAGTCTGGCATCCGAACCGAAGTCATCCGCCCTGTTGTCTAGCATGATACTAATCGAGCTAACGGAGCGTCCCGCTGGTCCCGACTTTTCTCTGAAAAAAAAAAGAATTGAGCAAATGCATACATAATGTGTCATGACGTAGTGGGATCAGGCGCCCATCAATTTTTGGGCATATGGGGCTGTTGGTTTTCATTTGGAAACCTTCCCACTCAAATGTTAAATAGATTACAGCGACTCCAGAACCAAGCTGCCCGCATAATTTTAAAGGAATCTCTCAAATAGCATATAACGACAATGCTAATTCAACTAAATTGGCTCCCGGTGAAAGCACGAAGTCAGTACAAAATAATTGTTCTTTGCGTCAACAAACATTGCACCATCATATCTTTGTGACATGGTCATCGAATATATACCATCTCGGCCTTTAAGATCGGCGACGAAAAGACTTTTAAGACCTGTCCAAAGCAAAAGTCAGAGACTCGGAAGGAGAGCTTTTTCACACCACGCCCTCTCCTTGTGGAACGCTTTACCAGCTCATCTACGGGA